TATTATCCAATCTTCTTTAATTAAAGAACTATTGAGAAGAATAAAATAGTTTTGAATTGCTAATATCTAACCAAATATATTAATATTATCCTATCTTCTTTAATTAAAGAACTATTGAGAAGAATAAAATAGTTTTGAATTGCTGGTATCTAACCAAATATATGTTTATTATCCAATCTTCTTCAATTAAAGAACTATTGAGAAGAATAAAATAGTTTTGAATTGCTAATATCTAACCAAATATATTATTATTATCCAATCTTCTTTAATTAAATTGAACTATTGAGAAGAATAAAATAGTTTTGAATTACTGATATCTAACCAAATATATGTTTACTATCCAATCTTCTTTAATTAAATTGAACTGTTGAGAAGAATAAAATAGTTTTGAATTGCTAATATCTAACCAAATATATTATTATTATCCAATCTTCTTTAATTAAAGAACTATTGAGAAGAATAAAATAGTTTTGAATTGCTAATATCTAACCAAATATATTTATATTATCCTATCTTCTTTAATTAAAGAACTATTGAGAAGAATAAAATAGTTTTGAATTACTGATATCTAACCAAATATATGTTTATTATCCAATCTTCTTTAATTAAAGAACTATTGAGAAGAATAAAATAGTTTTGAATTTCTAATATCTAACCAAATATATGTTTATTATCCAATCTTCTTTAATTAAAGAACTATTGAGAAGAATAAAATAGTTTTGAATTGCTAGTATCTAACCAAATATATTAATATTATCCAATCTTCTTTAATTAAAGAACTATTGAAAAGAATAAAATAGTTTTGAATTACTGATATCTAACCAAATATATGTTTATTATCCTATCTTCTTTAATTAAAGAACTATTGAGAAGAATAAAATAGTTTTGAATTACTTATATCTAACCAAATATATGTTTATTAACCAATCTTCTTTAATTAAATTGAACTGTTGAGAAGAATAAAATAGTTTTGAATTACTGATATCTAACCAAATATATTTATATTATCCTATCTTCTTTAATTAAAGAACTATTGAGAAGAATAAAATAGTTTTGAATTGCTAGTATCTAACCAAATATATGTTTATTATCCAATCTTCTTTAATTAAATAGAACTGTTGAGAAGAATAAAATAGTTTTGAATTGCTAGTATCTAACGAAATATATTAATATTATCCTATCTTCTTTAATTAAAGAACTATTGAGAAGAATAAAATTGTTTTGAATTGCTAGTATTATCTAACCAAATAAATTAGCATTTCTCATACTTGTGCGTAAAATCAAAACTAGAGGAGCAACGAGATCATAAAGTCATTCCATTGAATAATTTTAATCAATGATATATTAAGATAAGATATTGTCTTACCCCCTTCACTACCACTGGGGACAGTGGCCCACATTACACACACTATTACATGTATAAATGTATATATAGTTTGTATAGTATTTTTCAGTTAAGTTATATGCTTTGGTATGCGGAGAGCACTAACTGTTCCGAGAAAATTGGTTTTGGCTTTCTCTTTTATATAAAATCTACCTGAATACAATTTAGATATACATGCCTTTTCAAATATCATCTCTTATAGATATGAAATATTATGCGAAATTAATTTTTTTATGTATTCCGTAAAGTTTTATTATTTAAAATATCGGAGCATATGAAAGTAAAGTGTAAAGTGATGTTTAATTAAAAGCAATATTAATTTGAATTATTGAATAAGGTTTCAATATGTTCCAAACTTTATATACTTGTATTCCATCTATATTTTGTTTATACATATGTTGGTGAAATGTGTGTAAATATAAGTATATTTGTGTTTGTTATTGTTATTATGTCTGTTTGTTCCAGAAATGTCTGTAAGTATATTCCCATGACTGTCTAGTGTATAGTTTGATCCCTGTAATGTCTGTAGATTTGTACCCTTCACTGAGTAGTTTGGGCGGCTACACTTCACTTACAGTCTACACTACCTGCCGGCCCGTGCAGTCAGCAAACATGTATTTTTAACTTTTTTCATTATCAAGTTTTATTTGTTCGAAATTTATCTTTAATACGATCATTAAAAAATCTTTATTGATTAGATCGTTTATTTCAAGGTATAATAATTTTTAATTTTGCCGTTGATTTGACTTGCACTCAAAACTGTACTCAAAAATGACTTGACATTTGTTAAAATAAATAATTTTTTAATCTAACTTATCACAAAATTACATTAACTGATTTTAATGAAATTATACCAAATGAGGATAATTTTGAAAATTTGAAACTGCACACTGTGGTGTAATTATTTTGTAATAATTATGTGAATTTTGACCTAAATTGAGTTCTTAGATTGAATCAAGCTTCAATTTTGATTTTGATTTTTTTAAAGTTTTCATTAAAATGTCGGGATTGAATTTATTTATAATGAGAACTCGAAATATAATCAAATTTTTAAATTATTTAGAATATATGATATTATTATAATATAAAGAAAATACAAGAAATCTTTAAAATTTTATAGAAAACAATTAATAAACTGAATAATTTTTATAGATGATAAATATTTCAGAATATTTTGTACAAAAAATGTTGATGTAGTCAATCTCGGATGTACATAAGGAACTTTGAATCTCTGTGTACTATACTGTACATTGTTCATATACGCACAATGAGGCAATCAAATACAATCTCAAATTAAATTATGATATTTCTGTAAACTCTTCTTCAAGTTAATATATCAGGTACTACATTTAGGAGTTTTAAATAGAGTTTCCATTTTCAATTGCACAAAAATAGCGTAAAACTTGATCTATAGTTATCTTGGGTCTGTCCTGTTGAACGATTTTTGATCGTTTATAAGCTCTAAATTTAGATTCAAGGAACTAATTAGAAAAAAAAGATATAAAATAATAATTTCAAAAATGTACAAGGCTAAAATACAAATTATCTTGTTAAGAATACCAGGATACACGAGTATTATGTGCGTATTTTGGCGTTAAAGCTTGGAGATAATCCAATATGATATGGGGCACTGTATATTTTGCGCATCATTCCGCAAAAACTTATCGCATGGATAGCAATAGTTTTTCATTTTCTCAAACGCAAACTGATAATAAAAATATAAACATAGTTTTACTCAAATAAAGTTTAGACTAAATTTGACCAAATGATCATTAAATAAAACGTTTTTACGCATGGAACCCCTAGTTTTGAATCCAAGACCCTGTCCTCTCCTTTAAAAAAAAACGGCCCCCCGCTAATAAATGTTAAACAATGAGTTTGAAATTTTCCCTATAATAATCATTCTACCATTTAACCTTATCTCGAAACTGTAAATGCGCTTGACATCAAAAGTTTGTTAATAAAATATATTACAGTCTGTTTTTTTTACACGTAAATTTTTATTTATTCCGTTTGAAAGATTGCTTCCCCTCCCCATTCAAAACAATATTTTAATCAATGATATATTAAGATAAGATATTGTTAGATGTACAGGGTTGCCCACAAAGGATGAGACAAAGCCGACGGTAAACTCATGAAATATGACTATTTCTAGGTTTAGTTAAATCTTCTGTCTCGAACATTTTCTTTCAATCGCTCATTTAATGATTTTGGAAAGAAATAAACAAGTTTACAGTTGCAGGGAACCATGAATACAAGGAAACAGTAAGTAATAATTCCTTACAGTCGTCTCATAAGTCTCATCCTTTGTGGGTTACCCTGCAACTCAGTCGAACTATTCATTAAAGAGAGTACATGAAAGGGAGTACATTAAAGGAGGTATTGGCTTACGTTGAAAAATATTCGATTGTGATTGCTACTAATCTGACTTCTATCTGTTGCGTCTATAAGGAGAAAAGGGTTAAACACGACTCATACCAAAGATCGTAGTGTCCATACAAAGTCACAAAATTGCAATATTCGACTCGGATCGTAAAAATATAAATTCAATTCCTAACAAATCATTCAAATATTATTATTATAGTCATCGATTTTTTTTCGACGCATTCGTATATATTTAATATTCGAATATTGCAACGTAGTGAATTTGTATGGACACTACGGTCTTCGGTACATTCATTTTTCGCGAACACTCCCCTTAAATCTTGTCCCAGACATCATATATCCCCCCATCCCAAAAAAAAACATTAACAATAATTTTGCATATTTCAGAATGTCCTCCGGGCGTCCGATCAAGTGTGTGGTGGTGGGGGATGGTACGGTAGGGAAGACGTGTATGTTAATCTCCTACACTACTGATAGCTTTCCAGGAGAATATGTTCCAACAGTGTAAGTATTATTAGTAGAAGAGTGTGAAGTGTTTTACATCATAACCCCCCCCCTAAAGAAATAACTTTAAAAAATGTACTTTCAAAGGAATTTTAAGGATTTCTTTTATGTTAAGAGTGCTGCAATTATTCATTAAAAACAAAGAGATTATCAAGTACGATAGGTGGCAACAGAGAAATCGACCAATTATACACGACGTCACAATGTATTAAAGGCCTTCTCCATAACTCAGATTCGTATCGTACAACTCGCAAACTATCAATTCCAAACCAATAGGCACAAGATAAACACTTTATTCTAAAAGTATCACTATTATTTATAATTTTGTCGGACACAAAAACTGAATTTACACTTGTGACGTCAGGATACAGATGTACTGAGAGTGTACAAATTCTACGTTACCAGCTATTGTACTAGAAACTATTTAATTACAACAAACCTTTGTGTGGTAAATAATTAGATAGAACTGCTGGATTTAAACATAGAAGAGGAAGAATCTCTGTCATTTTCTTGTTCGTCTGTGCAATCACATCATTAATATCTTACATGTTTGTCTGGGTTGGCCCTTCTCAAAATCAATCATTAAAAATATTTTTTTTTTAATCACAATTAGATGTACATTCTATTTTTAATAAGGTTGTCTGATGAAAACAAGGAGACCTCACATCATTGAATCAATCAAAATAGTAGATATCTATTATTTACGTAAAATTATTGAAAATTTTTTTTACAATTGTTGATACACTGATGTTCTGATTACGGGGTAGGGGGAGGGGGGGGGGGGACTTAATTACTGATCATCCCCTCTCCCCCCCCCTTCCCTTCACGATGTTCGATGTGCTAGGTTTTTATCTCGTACCCTATCAGATTCAGGAGTAAATGTGAATATAACAGGTTTTTATCTTATACCCTATCAGATTCAGGAGTAAGTGTGAATATAACAGATTTTTCTTGCAGGTTTGATAACTATTCTGCTCCTATGGTCTGTGATGGAGTTCCTGTGTCCTTGGGTCTTTGGGACACAGCCGGACAAGAAGATTACGACAGATTGCGTCCGTTGTCCTACCCACAGACGGACGTGTTCTTAATCTGTTTCTCCGTGGTGTCCCCGTCCTCGTTCGAGAACGTGACCTCTAAGTGGTGTCCAGAAATAAAACATCATTGTCCGGATGCCCCAATACTTCTAATAGGTAGGACAACTAGTTGGGGCCTGAAAACCCCCTGGGAACCATAGCCCCCCCCCCCCTCCTATGTTTGCCTCTGATTGCACAACAACGTTCAAGTTTTTTCCGATAAATTATGTTAAATAATAAATCATGCATTACTTATTTTAAATCCTTTTCAAAAAAGTTAACCTTGGTTCAATAATGGATTATAAATTTTGCATAGTTTAATTCTTGATTTTATTAAAAATTGATCATATATAACGCAAATTTTATACTTTTGTTGTTGCAGGAATATTCCACAAACAATTTAATTAATATACTTAATACGCTCCTGAGAACGTAAAAATATTGTAATATTTGTCAAGATGAGATATTTTGTTTTGAGGCTTGTTGTCGCTTATTTTATTTTAATATTTCAGGGACAAAAATAGATTTAAGAGAAGATAAAGAGGCGTTACAGTCACTAGCAGATAACGGGCATGCACCAATGAAACGGGAACAAGGGCAGAAGCTAGCAAACAAAATCAGGGCTGTCAAGTATCTAGAGTGCTCGGCACTCACACAGAGAGGCCTTAAACAGGTAATAAATGTAGGAAGAAAAGTGACTGTTCGCTTTTAATCTAGAACTTAGAATTCTCGGCTGCAATTGCATGTTATTTATTGATTATTTCAGGGGTATCTATTCAATAGAAAAATCATCCCCCCCCCCTCCTCAAAATTTCACTTTCTCCCAAATATATGTGTGTTCTAACTGCAAAGAAAAAAATGGTTGGCTGATCAATTCATTGACGGATGGGTTGTTTGGTTGGTTGGGCGGTTTGTGAATTGATGAATGGTTGCTTGATTGGTTGATTGATTGATTGGTTGGTTGATTTAATTGTTGATTTATGAAAGTCTTATTTGTTTTTAGGTATTCGATGAAGCTGTAAGATCGGTGCTTCGACCCCAGCCCGTTAGAAAACGACAGAGAAAATGTACACTGCTATAAACAAACAAAATAACATGTACAATACAGCGCACACTATACAGTGTACTAAATTATCTTCAGAAAGAAGCTTATAGTACAGTTGTGTGTACAAACTTACATTAACAAACAAACATCATACTGTATACTCCAGTACATCGGCACAAATGTGTACGGAATAAACAAATATGAGTTGTGTACATTGGACACTGTACAGTACAGTACATCACCAGAAGGACCATAAGAAATCTCGAGTTATGATAGAAAGGCAGTTGTACAGCTTATCGCATCACATACAAGATGCCTTTAACATATTATGTACAATGTACATCGTACAAAGAGGATGATATTGAACGTAAATCTTGATGGTAAACTGACGTGCCATTCCTTCCTTGTTTAAACAGATCAGCCCCCTCTGAGCGTGTGCTAGACCTAACAAATTTATTTATACTATACAAATGTAATTTCAGAAGCGTACTGCAATTAACAGCTAAAATTAACTTCCGTTTTAAAAAAGTTCCCTTAAGTTTTTATATATATTATTATAATGATATAAAAAAGGGGAATTATTAATATTTATTATGAGGATATTTTTGTTTTATTATAGAGTTTGAATGCTAATACTGGTGACTTGTTTTTGAGTAGCCCGGAGACCATTATTCTGTTGCCAAAATAATTTGATTTGAATTAAAAATCAGAAATAGTTGATTGTAATCAAAACAGTTTCAACCCATCAAGATCTCTTTTCGAATTGATTTTTATATAAAAGCTCTTTACACGGTTGTAAGTTTAAGTTAAAAATCAATCCCCCCTCCCCCCCCTTTTATTATTATTTGACCCTCATGGGTCACATTGGCAACAAAACATGAGATTTGTCATTTGATGTTAATTTTCTTTCAAAATTAATTTGTCTTGTTATAAAATCTATGAATCATTTTAAGTATCAAAATTGCCTTAACAGTTCTATTACTTATTTAACCATCTTTTAAAAATATATTTAATTATTTAACTTGAACATTAACGCTGGGTGTTTTATTTATATTTAAAAAAATCTTTTGATAGATTTTGACTTTCAATTTGTAAATATTTGATAGTAATGAATTGATTATTATTTTGTGTTAATATCAATTAATTCTTAATATATGATAATAAAATTTTTGATAATCATAACAAAATGTTCACTATTGAGTATAATTGTTGTTCAATGTGCAGTAGCCATCTATAATGATTATGTTATAGGTATTTTTACGCTGTAAATCGTTATTCTGAACGGGGGGGGGGGCAACACAAATATAATTAATTGTTGGGATTTTTGTAGTTTTGTCTGTCTCCTCCTGAAAATGCGATGTTTATAGTTATTTTCATCATTGTGCGTTTTTTACCTAAATGTCATAACGCGAATTGTACATTAAATCTTTTAGCTTTCAGTCTGTAAATGCATTTAAGAACCTTAAAATGTTGCATGGATTTTAGATATATATACTTGCTGTTGAATAATGGAGATAGGAGGGTTTAGATGAACACTTCCCAGACTGCATTGTAAGGGAACCTGATAAAATTCTACCATAACACAAAAACAGGGTTGATGACGACATGAAACTCTTAAACTTGATCTCTCTCTTAAATTGGCTCTTAAGGTCTGCTAAATGATTTGGCAAAGAAAGTAAAATTATACAGTTACAGGGAAGTCTGATAACAATCTAAAATCGCATACTTTTCGTTTCAACCTGTTGTAGTATATTTATTGTGAACGTAATGAACTTTCTGCTAAGTTAGGGGGTGGGGTGGGGGCAGGGGCGCACGAGAGTATTTTTGTAGGGGTGGCACATTTTTTGAAAAAATATTGATACCTTTTTTAACTATGTAAACTATTCGATCATATACACACTTCCCTATTACAAGCGTTAATAACTAGATTTTTCTCTCTGGTGAGAGTCTCAGCTATAAGCTGCTATCTGTCTGAAAATAAAAAAAAATAAAAATTTCTCGGGTATATTTTGTTTTCAAATGCAAATTTCTAAATAAAAAAATTTAAACAATTTTGATGTTAAAATTTTATTCTGACCGGCCATAACCCTTCCCATCAGAGGTCATATAAACGTAACTTTCGAACCCATTTTAACCAATCAAATCAATTTTTCGTATTTGCTATTTGTAGGTTTTGTTTGATCAAATTCAGAATTGCCTCGTTAATGTGCATAAGACTCCAACACTAACTGAATAATTTGGTGGTGTATTTTTCGACCTACGCATATCCGCTATACTCCACTTCTGACCTACGCCAAATCCGCTATACTACACATCCGACCTACTAGCACGTGGTTTTACAGCTGCTATATGGACTTGTGGCCGCAGCGCCCGGCCCCCTAGCCTGTCCTAGCCGCGGCGCTCGGTCCAGAAATTGTCTTAACCTAACCTAACCCTCAAATAATACAAAAATAAACAGCTGACGTAGGTCCGATATTGCAGTAGGTCGGAAGTTCAGTAGGGGAGATATTGCGTATAGACGATGTAACATTACTGTATAATTTACATTCAAACCAGACTATGTATGTTTTATAGAAACCGACCTAAAAGGGGTATCCAAACTAACTCTCGTAGCTCGCATGTTAGATAGATTTACGGTGGATCCGAACTATACTGCCGTTTGAACTATTAATCGTTTTAACTAGTGTTCATTCTAACTACTGATAATGACGTCATTTCCTGTAGTTCAAACAACACATTATTTACGGTGACATGGAAACGCATTATTTACTCATTTGAACTATTAAATATGCAGTTTCAAACTTTTGATATTTAATGGAAAAATATGGGTGGAACATTGCTCACAAATTATATGATCAAAAAATATTCCACAAATGGACATAAAATTAATTCAATGACCAAAAAATAGTTCAAATGAAGCACTTAATAGTTTAAATGAGAAAAAAGTATATAGTTCAAATGAGCAAACTGCAATTAAGTTCATTATCCAAAAAAAATATCTTTCAAATGAGCAAAAAAATAGTTTGAATTGATTAAAAAGTTCAAATGCGAACAAAAAAAATAGTTTAAATGAGCAAAGTACAATTTAGTTCAGATTAACCAAAAACTATATCTTTCAAATGAGCAAAAAAAGTTCAAATTAACAAAAAAAAAAAAATTCAAATGAGCCAAAAACTAGTTCAAATGAGCAAAAAAATAGTTAAAATGATTAAAAAGATAGTTCAAATGAACAAAAAAATAGTTCAAATGAGCAAATTACAATTAAGTTCAAATAAAACTGCAGAAAATATCTTTCAAATGAAAAAGACTAAAAAGAAAAAGATTTTAGCTAAGATTTAAAAGATTAATAATTCATGCAATTTATTGTTTGTCAATTATTTTTTTCTCAGGAGGAGGGGTGCTGGTCAAAAATGTTTTGTTATTTACTTTAATTTTGAATTTCATAATTGTTACCCTCCCTGACACCCCCCCCCCTCATTCCTGGCCTTCCTTTTCCATTTCTGGAAATTACTGACGCAAATAGGCTTGATTCAAATCCACCAATCAAAGTCTGAAAAGTTGGTCACGTGACCCGTTCAACCAATCACAGACCAGAGTTTTTCTATCAGACAGTTACTTCAAATATGGCGGCCTTGTATGGACGCATAAAATCATAAACCTATTTGAATGAAAATATCCAAGTGATTGACAACTTTTATCATAAAAAAATGGCACCCAGCATAGGTTTAAACCTACGGGTTACCGGTTACAAGCATCAAGGGGGACGAAGATATATGGAGGACGATTTCGGAGTTGCATATCAGCAGACCTCGGACGAAAAAGATCTTGAATATGCATTTTTCGGCATTTTTGACGGACACGGGGGCAAAGAGGCCGCTTTATTTGCAAAGGTAAATTTAATTTTTGATATTTTCTAGATTTTTAAAGAAAACTCAGGACATTTTAAAATGTTGTTTCGTATTTCAGGAACATTTGATGGACTATATTGTGACGCAGAAAGGGTTCTGGGAAGAGGAGGATGACGCCGTACTAAAGGCTATTCGTGAAGGGTTTATACAGACGCATTATGCTATGTGGAAAGAGTTAGGTATGAAAATAGAATTGCCTAAATTGAATCCTGCTAATTTTCAATTTAAGTATTTTACCGGTAATTTCCTAGAGAACGATTTTTGGACCTCTCTTATCAATTTTGTACATGGATCTTACAGAAAGTGCCTGTCCTAGCTGCAGCGTTCGGCCCAGACAATTTCTTAACCTAACATAACCCTAAATAATGCTAAATAAANTTATTATTATTATTGTTATTATTATTATTTATTATTATTATTATTATTATCTCTTTATAGAAAAATGGCCAAAGACAGCAAGTGGTCTCCCTAGCACCGCCGGCACAACCGCCAGTATTGCATTTATTCGGCGGGGGAAAATATATATTGGACATGTTGGAGATTCGGCAATCATTCTGGGCGTTCAAGATCCCAATAATCCTGATGTATGGATCGCAGATCCCTTAACTGTGGATCACAAACCAGAATCCATAGGTAAGTTTTTAGATTATTACGTTTGGAGATTTACTTCGCTTAAAATGTATTTATGAGGAAAAGTTTTTCAAATCTTTGAGTCTTATTATTGGGACTTGGTAATCTAAACACTTCTTTTAAAGAGATACAGTGAAACCCTTAATAAAGAATACATCGAAAGAATTCATCAAATGTCGTATTCTTCAATTTCTGATAATGGAATGTTGCAGATATTTGGTATTTTAATTAAATGATTATATGGAACTCTTAAAACTGTTCCCGCATATTCATGGCTATTTATTTATTTTCGCAAATACTGAAATTTACGTAATATAGTATAAAACTCATTGAAAATTGGCAAGACGACATTTGATAAATTCTTCCGATGTATTCGTTATTAATGGTTTTACTGTACATGAACGTATCACAACAGGAAAAGATGATCGAATATCCTTGTTTATTATATAAACTTTTATTTGTTTTAATTTCTCCATATTATTGATTTATGCAGCAGAGATTAGGTTACTTTGGAAATTGACAGAATTTATGTCTTTTCAAAAAAGAAAACAGCAAATAATTTCCTCAATTCTTAAAACTCAAAGAACTACGAGAACAAAAAGTGTTACTGATGTCGCATAAACTTGACCTTCTCCTTCTTTTCAGTGTAAACAGTCCCTTTTAAATTATTCACGTCGACAGTCCCTTTATTATTAATTATTCATGTCAAAAGTCCCTTTATTATTAATTGTTCATGTCAACAGTCCCTTTATTATTAATTATTCATGTCAACAGTCCCTTTATTATTAATTATTCATGTCAACAGTTCCTTTCTTATTAATTATTCATGTCAACAGTCCCTTTATTATTAATTATTCACATCAACAGTCCCTTTATTATTAATTATTCACGTCAACAGTCCCTTTATTATTAATTATTCATGTCAACAGTCCCTTTATTATTAATTATTCATGTCAACAGTCCCCTTTACAACAGAGAATGTTAATACTTGTGACCAACTAATGTGAAGGGCATGTATCCCGTGGAGCTGAGCTGTAAATTTGGGTAAAATTAAGTAAATAATTTTAATTTTTTGTTTTTTAGAAGAGAGTGAAAGAATCCAACAGTGCGGAGGGAAGGTTATTTGTAAATCTGGAGTCCCTAGGGTTGTCTGGAACCGTCCTAAGATGGGGCACAAGGGCCCTGTTCGTCGGTCAACTCACATCGATGAAATACCCTTCCTGGCTGTGGCCCGGTCTCTGGGGGACCTCTGGTCCTACAACAGTGAAGAAAACGTGTTCGTGGTAAGCCCTGAACCCGACATACATGTGTACCCTGTAGATATTAGTAAACATAGATGTTTAATACTCGGAACAGACGGAGCCTGGAACATGTTGACGCCGCAGAACGCGATCAGCGTGGTGTGCCAGGCCGAGAAGGCCAATGAACAGCATATGCTGAATCCTATAGAGGGTCGAACAGCTTGGGTTAATCCTAGTAAACAGCTTGTCGACACAGCTATAGATCGGTGGAACGGGAGCAGGTTGAGGGCAGATAATACTAGTGTTGTAACCGTGATGTTGGATCCTCCAGGTCCTCCCAGAGCACAGGTGATCAAGAACCGGAAACGGGAGTTGGCGGCGCTAAACGCGGGGAAAGATCTCGGGAACCCAAACCTAACCGGTGACCGGGGTTCCGTAGCTCTAGTAACCAATTCTACAGCAGAGGAACTGAACAAGGAGGATGAATCTAAGGTCGGCTGCTCAATTATTTCAAGATTTCCTAACTCCAGTCATCCAGTCCACAGTGTAGGTATAGACCTAGTGAGACAGAAGAAGGATGAAGGAGATCAACCCTCAACCCTTCTCCGAGATTTCCAAGGATGTTCAGGGCGGATAAGTGACTCAACTCTGGTAAAGAAAACTTCTCCGACTCCAGCTAAACCGGCTTCGGAGGATATAGTTCAGTGCAATGAAGTTTCGTCCTCGGAGGATAGTCCAAGTAGATCTTCAGCCTCAACTACTATCCTACCTCCAAGCTCTATTCAGCCACACACCTCAATGCCTCCAGCAGGACTACCTCTAACACCTGTCAGATCTATAAAATCAACTCCAACCCGTCCAGCTATCTCCGCCAACTCTTCTAAACCAGGGAGCAGAATCTTGTCAGACTCACACATAGTACCTTCTTCATCCAGTCAAAAGATTAAACCTGGAACTAGCAAAAGAAAATCACTTCACAGAGAGCTTAGCGCGCTTCAATTGTCTACGCCACGCGCGTCCCGAGGCTTGGCACGCGCGGCTAGATCCGAAATAATTTCTATAAAGACCCCTAAGAAACCAAGCACTGTCAAACCCCAAACAAAGTTGGTAAAAAGTCCTGTGAAAACTAAACCTTTGGTAAGGCAGAGAAGTCAGGAACTAAGTGAAAAAATAGAAATATTTGAAAAATTGTCCGCACCTACCCCTGCAAGGAGAAAGACTGCTGTTAGCCTGAAATCTAGCGTAAAACCGGAGACACCACGAACCCTTAGAGGACGGGAGAAATCTATTCCCCCAACCCCGCGGAGCGGAGTTAAACGGAAGAGGATTGAAACGGCGGCGGCGGTGTTACCGGCTAAATCCCCGAGAACAGCGGCGATTAAACCGGTGGTCACGAGATCAAAGCAAGCAACGGTTTTGAAGCTTAAAAAGCGGTAATTCTAGCCGAAGTTCTCATTTTTATATATTAATAAAGACCCTGTCCTCATAATGGGGTCAGTAGTGATATCTTCTATTTTCAAAGACAATATTCTTCATAATAAATTCATTTAAAGTCCTGAGTGATAATTAAAATGATATTTAACTCTGGATTGAACGCCTTGAACATTTTATTTCACAGAAAAGTGTACTGCAGTTTATAAAATGAAGGTAAACAAACTAAGGGCTGCTCAGGTCCAGAGCCCATTCTCTCCATAGAAAGTTGTCGTGTATTTCACGTACTTTGGGGGACGATATGTTGGCCCCTAGATGTCTCGTGCTAAATTCTTATCTGATAGATAGATATTTCTCCGTACATTTGACGACCAATATAGGAGACGTTAAGTTGTCGACCAATGTATAGTTTATGGAAGGAACGGCCTCAGGTTTATTCTCAGAAACTGCAGTACAATTATTTTGTAAGCAATGATATGGGGGTTCTCAGTTAATCTTCTACTAAAGAATACCACGTGTCACTATAAACTTAACGGGATGCAACTTTTGTTTAAATCACCTGAGAAGTATATATTTTTATATCTTTATTACGAGTAATGAAATAACGTAAAATATTAAATATTGACTAAACTTTTGTTCTTTACTTGTGTAGCAGTTTCTTCAATTTAATTGATATTATTATTCTTATTCTATGCTAATTGTAAATTAATTATTTAATTCATAAATTATAGTTTTAGATTGTTATTTGTTTATTTTAACAGTAAAAATGATTCCAAAATTGTTAGTTTTCGTTATATTCTAATTGAATAAATATGCTGTAGATACGATAAACCTCTAATTTTCTAATTTTTTTTATTATCTTACTATTTCTTATTATTATATATTATTATTATATCTTGTACTTGAATACGCGTTTAATAAAGAACAAACATTAACAATAACCACGTCAAAATGTAAATTCCATGTTGAATTAAAATCTTAAATGTTTGTTAATCTTATTTCCATTCCTGAGAGATTGTGGAAGAAAAATCTTTTAGAATTAATTTGATTCTCTCTTTTTGAGCGAAAAATCAAAACTGGTGGAGCCATAAGGTCACAAACTCGTACCAGTAATGTCGCATAAAGTAAAAAGAACTTCGCCTCAAATTCATGCTCTACCATCTTTGCATCCGGGTTTCGTGATATTTAAAACTAACTTCTGCTAGATCATTTTGTTGAAGTTTCAAATATTCAAGATTACCACATCAGGTTTCTACGATATAGGGATTAGAACATTATATTTTGTGGTGAGTAATCAGTTCTTCTGACCATTTATTATTTGTTACGCTCGCGATGCTTTAGGAACCAACAAGGTAGAGGGAAAACAATATTTATTATATCCCTATAGGCCTCCATGTCAAGAATTGTTATTATTTTGTCGATTAGAGTCACAGATAGAAAGGAGCTTTTGTGATTCTTCCTTATCTAGATATATCTTTATTTAAACCAAAGTACTTATAGCGTCTTTCCTTCCCAAACACTTTTTTTACTTTTTAAAGGGATTGTAAGCGCAATTTTAAGTGCCCCTTTATGCTGTCAATGAAACTAGTCACAACGGTAACATTGAAACCTTTTAAAATATTGTTCAGGTTTCAAAATAACTAGTACTTAGCAGGGCACTTTAGTAGAAACCCCAAAATTAAAAATAATAATTTTCCAAATTATAAACTATGATATCTAATTTATACTTAATCAGCAGGGCGGGCTCCTGGAGGCCCCCCCCCCTATAGAAATTTATTATATGAAATAAACATCAAGGGGTGAAAAACACAACGAAAATAGAATTGAATAAATGACCTGATATATTTATAGTAATATGCCTTTAAAAGTCAGAAAGTGGGAGAACTAGAGTTTACAAATAGAAAGTAGGAGATCTAAAGTTTACAAATAGAAAGTAGGAGAACTAGAGTTTACAGATAGAAAGTAGGAGAACTGGAGTTTACAGTCAGAAAGTAGGAGAACTAAAGTTTACAAACAGAAAGTAGGAGAACTGTAGTTTACAAATAGAAAGTAGGAGAACTAGAGTACAGACAGACAA